GAAATAAAATACACGTCATATAAAATTGATTGTCTTCTTAAAATTACTTAATTAGTAACAGTCTTTTTTTTTAGAGAGAGGAGTTTTTTTAATAATTGATTGGCAATTGAATATTCTTGTGGTTATAAATTAATTTTGCTTATTGTGTAAAATCAAATAGTTATCACTGAACTTACAAATTTCATATGCAATTTTTGTTCCTATGTGATGAGTCTTACACTACTTAATATTGACTTCCGTTCATTTGATATTCATGATACTCATCGTCAATGTAACACAAGACTAATTTACCAGCTAATAGGTCAGGCAGTGCTGCAACAATATGCAGTCACAGTGGATTACCCACTCAACGTTGTGGAGTCTTTTTACAGTAGTTTCTCTTGATCTGATTTTTCTAACGCTTGTTCTGTATATATTGTTTTTTTTAACAGACATGTCACCTCTCACCCTAATTTAATTTTGTTTTTGAAATCGGCATTTATTTCAATCTGTATTTCTCCATTATTTATTTGTTTATGTCCCTTTTTAAAATCATTAACACAGTTGCTGTTGGTTCTGAATGGAACNTAAAATCAAATAGTTATCACTGAACTTACAAATTTCGTATGCAATTTTTGTTCCTATGTGATGAGTCTTACACTACTTAATATTGACATCCGTTCATTTGATATTCATGATACTCATCGTCAATGTAACATGAGACTAATTTACCAGCTAATAGGTCAGGCAGTGCTGCAACAATACGCAGTCACAGTGGATTACCCACTCAATGTTGTGGAGTCTTTTAGTTTCTCTTGATCTGATTTTTCTAATGCTTGTTCTGTATATATTGTTTTTGTAACAGACATGTCACCTCTCACCTTAATTTAATTTCGCTTTTGAAATCGGCATTTATTTCAATCTGTATTTCTCTATTATTTATTTGTTTATGTCCCTTTTTAAAATCATTAACACTGTTGCTGTTGGTTCTGAATGGAACGAATGATGGTTGACTAGTAACTGTAGCCTACATGATGTATACTGTATTGACTTAATAATAATGAGTAGGGG